AGAGAGAGAGAGAGAGAGAGAGAGAGAGAGAGAGAGAGAGAGAGAGAGAGAGAGAGAGAGAGAGAGAGAGAGAGAGAGAGAGAGAGAGAGAGAGAGAGAGAGAGAGAGAGAGAGAGAGAGAGAGAGAGAGAGAGAGAGAGAGAGAGAGAGAGAGAGAGAGAGAGAGAGAGAGAGAGAGAGAGAGAGAGAGAGAGAGAGAGTAAAACATTTCAATCCGGCCTCTACATGTAGTGCGGGCAGAGGATGATATAAAAATGTTGTCAGCGACAACGTGCAGTCACGTTTTCCTACTTTCAGAACTCTCTTCACTTGTGTTGGTGAGGTGATGAGCAAACTCAAAAGCTCTGATGCATGTAGTACCTATTAATAAACTCAATCCCGTTTTGTTAACATCCCCAGTCGTGTTTTATACATCTTTTATAAGTTAAAACAAAAGCCATTAAATAGTACAAAAAGAACAGGCCTAATTTTTGCATCGGACCGATAAAAGTGATGTCATTTTTTTCTCCAATATTTAACCTATAATTATAAGGCCGATGTACAGTGCGTCCTTATTTATAAGATGTATTTTCTCACCTCCAGACCGACACGTAGATGATGATGAGTAGCAACAATGTCAGAGAAGACACTCCACATCCCACAATCAGTGTCACGGATGGGAGCTGTGTCTTATCCATGTTCTGAAAAAAAGTAAGAGAACACAGAACATGTATTATGTGTCAATTTGTGTCACAGTGAACGATTTCAAAATGGCAGCACACGGAATACAAAGATTGTGTTCTGTTTTCATCTATGACTGCAGACACTTCAAGAGCCTGTAGTCAGATTGTCAATCTATAAGATTTGGTCTTTAACCTCACGTAACATCCATCCGTTCATCTATTTTCTCATCCGCTTATCTTCACAAGGGTCGCAGGCGTGCTGGAGCCTATCCCAGCTGTTTACAAGCAGCAGGTGGTGTACACCCTGAACTGGTTGCCAGCCAATCGCAGAGCACACATCGACGAACAAAGTCACACTCACACGTAGGGACAATTTAGTGTTCAATCAGCCTGCCATGCATGTTTTTGGAATGTGGCAGGAAACCGGAGTACCCGGAGAAAAACCACGCAGGCACGGGCGGAACATGCAAACTCCACACAGGAAGGCCCGGAGCCGGGATTGAACCCACAACCTCTGCACTGTGAGGTCCACGCACTGACCACTCGAGCAAGTACAAAAGGCTGATCAATTATTTTCAGGCGGCCTTATATACGGCGCACCTCGCCGTTGGACATTTAGCTGTTTAATGAAAGGAACAAACAGTCAAACACACAAATATAAAACGAAAGCACATCCCGGGGCACGAAGAAGCCACTCACGCTGAACTAACCGCACGCCAAATCATCAGCCGGAGCTGGAGTCACAGCTTATGTCACTTACTAGGCCACGCGCACGTCGCCACACAAATACTACAGCAGGTTTCGCCAGCGCGCCTAAGAGCTCAGCTTGTGAACATCACATGACCAACATCGGAAGCCGTGATGGTCGTTACCCCAAAGGCTCAGGTCTGTGATGTCACTTTCAGTCGACTGCAAGACGCAAAATGGCCGTCCCCTAAGATGGATGACAACAGGGGTGGGGGTTTTGCTGCTTCACTCATATTCTACAAAACGCAAAAAATACTCGGCATAAACTGTTTAGACTACTGGAAACACTTTTGAAGTGACTTCCCCTTTCACATCTCAATGACACCAAAGAAGCTTTCAATCAGTTTTTCCCAAACATCAGCTCCCGTGGAAATAATATGAATATAAACATGCGGTTAGTGGAAAACAGTCCAGTGTCAGTGGGGACGCACCTTGAACTAGCGAAACAGCAAAAAATAAATAAATAAATAATAAACAAATAAATTTAAAAAAAAAAATAATTTTTGCTAATGTCTAATTGATCGAGCAGCCCTCCTTTATTCACGAAAAGCCAGTCAATCTTCAGCTTGGCCTTGGGAACCTTCAATCCATCCCCCTTTTTTATTACTCCTGAAATCCACTTAGCCTCTAAAATAAAAAGACAAAGCACTCCTGCTTCTCAAGGCCTCCGGCCAAAAAGTCTCTCAAGCGTTATTAAAACTTGTCGAGAAAGCAGCACAGCAGCGGCTATGCTCCGTTAGCGTAGCGTTGACCCTTCGGAAGCGGAGCCACCGTTACATATTGACCAAGGCGGTGTGGCAACGTGCAGTTAATATGTGATCTATTAATTCCACATGGGCATGAGCACATTTGATAGAATCTTCCAGAACAAATGCTGATGCGAGAGGAAGTTTTACAATCCAGGGTGACTTGCACGGGGCTATAAAATGGTAAAGTAACTCATCAGTGCGTCGCTGATAGCGGACACGTTCCGCATGTGAATTGGTGAGCGGGGGTGAGACTGACGTAACACTCAATTTACAGACCGGCAAAAAAAAAAAGAAAAGAAAAAAAGCCTGTTTTGTAGATAAGTAGTGTTCTGTGTTTTGGCTCGATTGCTTTGAAATTTATAAACAATCTTTCCCCAAACGCAATTAGCCACATAATGGATGATTGCCCCTGTAGAAGGGAATTCGACATTATTACGTAGCAAGATTATGAAAGCTAATGAAAATAAAATAAACTCTAAAATTGTAAGAATATTTTTGTTAGCGGAACATAAAAATGAAAGTGATTTTTTTTTTCAAAAAAAGTAACAAACAAAAAGTACAGCTTACATTAATAACACTAACTAAAACGATGGATATTTATAGCAACAAAAAAAAAGTGCTTAGTTTTCATCTTTGTCAATTTGTCGGGTCTCTTTCTAAATTTATTCATTTCAGTATTGCTGTCACTTTTCTTTATTTTGCACATGACAAAAACTCAATTAAAAAAAAAAAAAAACTAAAACTAATATTAAAACGAATAAAAACTAAACTAAAATAAAGCGTTATTGGGGGGTGAGGGAACTAACTGTTCTAACAACTAATTAAAACAAACTAAAAGACAAAAGTCAAAACGAAATAAAAACTAATTAGCATCGAATGAAAAATGCAAAACTATTCCAAGACAATAAATATCCCAGCCACTGGAGGCTTTTAGCGGATATATTTTCAATCATTTGGGGATCTGCGGGTGTGAGAAACGTGAGACGAAATCGTCTGAGAGCTGAGAGAAAAGCTTGAATTTCCCTGATTTTTGAGTCTCATTCTAGATACAGTACTCTGCGATGAACCATTCACTGTGATGGTCGCTAGTTCAAAACCATCCCCCATACTTCTTCTTTACAGTGACTTTAAGTTCTAAGAAATTTTTGTTATCAGTTCTTGTAGTTCCCGGAAGTGAAATGTTTCAATCAGAAATGTTCACGTTTCGGGCGCTTTGAAATGAATCTGCGCCGAAATTTTGTTGAAGCGTACTATTTTTTGAGCAGTCGAAACACAGTGGGCCTCTAGGTCATAGTTCCATGGTAAAGATTCTGGTTGCAGCAAATTCCTGTCTTTTCTGGTGTCGGTGTGAAAGGCAAATGCTGACTGATGCTCTTCTGCTTCAGCTCTGATCGAGCAATTTCTGCGGAATCTCTGTGCAGAAGAGGCTACGGTGGTCAAAGGCGGAAATGACGAGGCGGAAAACAAGGCCTGCTTGGGGGGTGTGCGCGCGTAGCGTAGCATTATCTGTCTAAGCAGCAGGAGCGACGAGAGGATGGTAGAACAGGAAATTCACGCTGAGCGAACATATTTGCAATCTTGCACCATCCCGCTAACCTGGCCAAGACCCATGAAAGCACGCTTTTGACTCTCGCCACACTTGTCTTGGGTGTGAACTCGCCAAACAGAAAGAGCAAAACGATTGCATGTCTCAACGGAGAAATGGTCGGATTGTTTTGTTTGTTTGTTGATTTTTTTCATTTTTATTTTTAAGAGGGGTACGGAGTGCAGCTATTACGTCCCTCGTGTATGTCAGGAATGCCGTTCACGTACTCGAGCGCTGCTCTCATCCCACCCGGGCTATTTGTCAAGAGGCGGGACGTCTGCGGAATTTAAATACTCCGGCAGATTTACGCCGGGCTGCCAGCACGACCTGGCCGTGCGACGTTAGTGAGGGTTTATTGTAAAACGTGACCTCGACGGTAGTCTTCGATGATGTACAGTAACTTGCTGCTAAAATAAACGAAGTGTAATCAATGTGTAAAAATGTGAGGAATGTGACAGCTCAAGGAGGTGAAAATTAAGGCAATAACGAACTCCCACCCTCAAATTATGACGAAATAAATAAATAAGGCCTGCCCCAGTGTGGATTTTTTTTTTTTTTTTTTTTTAGGCCAAGTCCGATATTTGGCAGAATAAAATCATGGTAACTGATTAATCAGCAGATTCATAATATTTTAAAAAACTAACACTAAATCTAATAAAATAACTTAATTTTTGGTCCTTTAACACAGATATCAATTACAGGCCGATCGTTTGACTCTTTCACAATACTTTGTCCTTTACTATTTGTTTAACTTTACAACAGATTTTGCCGATTTTTTTTCTGAGTTTTTTTTATTTTTATTTTTTAAGGGGGTTCGATCATCATCAATATTTTTTGTCTTATATTGTAAGGTGTGAATGTGTTAAAACAAAAAATAACACAATTTAAAAAAACTATGCCCATTTTAAAAGCGCTAACATCTGTAGATTAAATCGGCTGGTTAACCGGTCAGGCCCTAAAAAAAAAAAAAATTATAAAATCAATTAGATTAATTCGTGATGTTTGAGGATCATCGTTTCTCACATCTTTAGCGGTTAAATTATTAATACGTGCAATTATACACATTTTTGGTGTGTCAATGACGTTTTTTGGGCGAATCTCGCCAGAGCTTGTCCTCATCTCCCAGGGCGTCGTCATAGTCGGGACAAGTTGGACTTTTTCGTTGGATTTCCCAACGCTCCCAAAGTGCAACATGGAGGAATTCCAGTGCGAGCTACGCAGAGCAAAGCTCTGTCTTATCTTCTCTAATAAGCGTAATCACAAACATACAGAGGCCCAAATCCGAGGATGGACCAGTTTGGAAAACGACCAGGGCGGCACAATCTGCCAAGGCACCTTTGATCCACTACGGCCCGGTCCGCCAATTAATGAGGAATTACTGTTCGCCCCCGAGGGGCCCCCGGTGAGGCGCAGCCGCTGTGGGCAGGAACGGGTCGGAGACCGCCAGGCACCGACCCGTTCATCAACACGCCTCGCTGAGCAAAAAGGCGCCGATGCCCCTCGCTGAAATGCGGCACGAAGGCGGCCAAATGGACAGCGGGCACAGCGGGGCCATTGTTCCGCACACTCGTGGGCCAGAAGGGCCTCTTCTTTGCGCTGCTGGAATGCAAAGTACCTGCTCGTCGACATCGTCCACGCGGGTTTCGTTTTTCTCGCCTGTGAGCTGGGGGATTTATTCATTTTATTGATTCATTTGAGTCCACTGTGACTCGATGAAACGCCATTTACTACGATGGATGCGTTACCGACTCACCAACAACTGGAAATAGAGAGACAATAAAACTTTTTTTTTTTTTTTTGAAAATGACACCAGTTTTCGTAAACTATCTTCACCTTGGTTTGGTCGTGTCACTAGGATGTACATCATTCTATGTCGTTTGGTTCCCAGGGAACAAGTGTCCCGGTAACCCGGACACTTGGAGGGCGGGGGGAAAAAAAAACAGAGGGGAAAAACAGCTATTAAGCAACTAATTGAACAGCCATTTGCCTAACGAACCAGACGTCCCTTGCGAGATGACGACGAGGGGCCATCCTGCCGAGGCAGCTCGTCTTAATTACAGATCGGCGGGTATGAATAAAGCATGAGGAGGGCTCAGGTATCGCTCCATGTAGGGCCTGCCCGGGGACAAAAAGGAGAGACGCCTCAGCCTCCTCCTGCACACAACCTGAAAGGCGCACACACACTAATATACACACACACACACACACACACACACACACACACACACACACACACACACACACACCTCACAGATTTAACAGGCGGCGACATAAGAGGAGCTCAAAGCCCCTTGGACCTAATTAAGAGCTAAAGATAAAAGTCCCAAATGGGCACACTCATAAAAAGATGCTTCTGTTGATTCGCTTTCTTGAAACGAGCCGGACAAAAAAAAAAAAAAAACAGTCCGCGAGTGGCAATGAACTAATTTTGCCGATCGGGGGAGATCCTGACATCATGTGGTCAGCGGCGGTGCTTTTGGAGATGGACACTCGCACGCTCCGGGCTTGATGAACTTGTATTGAAAGCTCATGAGAAAGAAGAGACGTCTTTCCCCGCGACCTATTCTGAGCCGGTCAGGAGTACGGCCAACAGCGTTTTTACAATCAAGATGACCCTGATTGGATGCCGCCAGACCAAAATAGGCTCAGATCGGTTGCGGTTTCAACGCGTCGCTCGCGTTTGTGGGCGACACGTGAAATGCTGCGGAAATTGATCGCGGCGGCTTGAGTGACCACAACGATCACAGGAGGCTCGATTTGCAACAACAACGTGAAAATAAACCGTTCCGTCATACCGAGGAAGTGAGAAATGATCCCGAACGTTCAAAACAGTCTTTTATGGAGACGCTCTGACTGACTCGCCGCGATCGCGCCAACTCATTTCGACATAAAGTTTAGTCGATGCGGGAAAAAAAATGAACCCTGTGCAGATTCAGGACAGAGATTTTGCATCAACCTCTTTAAGGAAATGTAATGATACAAGTCATACAATTAATTCAGCCGCAGTCTATTCATTTCAAGTGTACCACATTTAGACAGCATTTAATGTCCGCACACCTCGAAGCATTTGTAGACTAGTTTTAATACATGGATATGGATATAGTACGTTTTATCCACATTTGGGAAAAGGCCTGATTCTGATCCGCGGATATCAGATTCCATGAGGTCCCATTCAGCTTCAGTCGTACTTTTTTATACATTGAACATTTCACAAGGGCGTGTGTGTGTGTGTGTGTGTGTGTGTGTGTGTGTGGGGGGGGGGGGGTTGTCAAACTGGGCCAGCAGCTCTTATCAAAAGTATGCAGGCATTTATGCAGAAAAGTCATAAAATGACGATTATGGTGAAAGACTAAAACAAACACGAGCAAACCTCGGGAGGAGATTTGTCACCGTGCATCGTACTATTGTCTGCGGGACTTTTGTCCCCGCATGATTCATCTATCTGACTTTCTGAGACATAAGACATCAAAAATGGGACTCCAGTCTAAATATCAACTCCAAGTCACAAGTTTCTCATGCAGAGAGCCTCAAAAAAGTTGTCCAGCATTTATCAGTCTTTGTCTTCTTAATAAACAAGTCAGTGGAGGCAATGTATTCCACACATTATTCCTCGATCAACTAAACAAGTAATCCGATCAAGACTGATTTTGAATTAGTTACCAACAAAAGCGCCGTATGAACTTTATTTTGCTGTGCCGTGATTTTGTCACTTGTGTGCTTGTCTGCTCATCGGCCCCCAAAATCCTGATCTTGTAAAGCCAAGTTTAAACTGTTCATATCGATAGTTGAACATTTTTAGATGATGGGGTGTTTTGTTACAAACTAAATTTTTACTATTCGCGTCGGGGCTTGGTCCCTAAACACCGCAAATAGAGAGGGTTCACTATATCCCGCTGCTATCAGTGACGAAACTAAAAGTGAGGCCCAGTGATTGCTTCATGGACGCAAAGCAAGTTTATCAACCCGCGTTGCGTCACGGCTCGGGCAGAATTCAACATGTGGTACCAACATCTGAGCCTCTCCCTTCATGCTGCTTTTTTCCACTCATTCGTACGACGCTGGCTCATCATCAGCCACATAAATAGATATCATATTTATAAACCTCACCATCCACACATAGCTGTGGCATTTTTTACAAGCTCGTGCGCACACACGCACACACACACACACACACACACACACACACACACACACACACAGTTGCACTGCTACTTACATATGCAGTACACAAGCTAGATTAACAGGGGAGGGGGTGCAGTGTGATGCATTGGGTTCTAGGGAACATGCTTTTTTTGCCGTACAAGAATAAAGTGTCATTGCACATCCACTGCAGTAAGTGGCAGTGGTGATCTCATTCATTTCTTTATTGTAATTTTAGGCAAATCTTATCTGTGACAAACTAAACACATGTTAAAGTTATTCCATGTTGTAAGTTGATCTGTATTTATCGTTTGTTTTTGTTCAGCGTTATGCAGAAGTGTACTTATAACAATGTATTGACAAATGTTTTCTTCTTTTGGTGGGGAGTAACAGGAAAAAAAATTAGGAAGCACTGCTCACATTTATACAGAACATTACAATTTGTTCACGTGTAAACACACACACACACACACACACACACACACATTGACACGCACTCATACATAAACATTTACTTGCACGCACGGCGAGCAACGACGTCACACGACCCGGAAATCAGGTGATAAGTGAAGCATTTATGTCCCATTAAAAGCTCACCTCGTCCAGGTAGATTACTTGAGATAACCGCACGACACAACCGTATCGCCCCTATTATTTGGTCGTTTAAATGAACTCCTTGGACATTTTACAAAGCAAAATCAGCTGGACTTGTATGTCGACTTAGCGCGAGTTTGTCCTTACAGACAAGCAAACTGGGTGGCGTTGAAATGAAGGTTTGGAATGGAGCTAACGTAGCCACATCCGCAAACACACGCTTAGCTCGACGTGCTAGCGAGCTAATTGAAGAGACAGCGACAGCGAGAGAGGGGAAGTGTATGAATACAACGCACCTTACCTGTGAGCACCAGGCCGAGCCAGTCAGTACGCCGTCACGAAATCCGCCCCCTCCCCGCCGCGAAGGCGCGTGCGTCGGCCCCCTCCTAGGAAAAATAATTCAAATTCCACAGAAAGCACTGCGAAAGACTCACGCAGCCCAATCGCTTCGGCCACCGCCGCTGAATGGCTGCGAGCAAGCGGCTCAACCAAACCTCCTCCTTAGCAACGGACCGCCCCTTCACATTCTCATTGGTCCAAAGCAAAGTTTGTGCGATGATGAGCAGGTGAGGAAGCAAACCTGGAACAGACCCTGGCGTTCCTCTAAAACCAGCACGCACACGTGTATGGAAAGATATAACGCCCCCTGGTGCATTTGACGCGCAACTCCGTCACCGCATGGTGCAGTCATGGCAATGGACCAAACCAGTCAGTGGCGGTGGCGAGAGATAATGACTGTGGCAAAATTTCAGTATATCATTATTATGAATGTAATTATGGACATTATTATTCATCATTCAATTATATTAAGTGAACAAGGTCTTCATAACAAATTACATAACATTTACACTCCAAGTAAACGTAATTAAGATAAAAGGATAATGTATTAGTATTTTTGATTTTAGACATTTTTAAATGCTAAGACGATAAAAGCAATTTATAAAGAAATATGCAGAAATAATAGATAGTAAACGGGTATGTTATAAAAAATAAATAGATATTTTATATAATAATATGATATAATATGAATAAAATAAAAAAATAAAAAATAAAAATATATAAATAAAATAATCATGATAGGAATTTTATTTTATTTTAAATTATTAAGAGTCATGTTATAATTAAGTAATGTATATGAAATAAAGATAGGGGATATCATTATTTTACTATTTAAAAGTAAGTTTGTGTTCTTTTTAATTCTGATTATTTTTGTTGTTAAATTCTGATATGTATTTTTGTGTTCATCTTACATATTTTAGGTATACTGTGGGGAAAAAAAGCTATAACTATAAATACAAAATATCAGAGATTTATGTATGACAGAAATATGTCACATGCTGGAATATCATTGTATTATTTTAAAGTGATCGATTATATATTTGATAATATTATTACTGCTATTTTTATTGTATCTTAATTTTTACACTTGAAGTAATTAAAGTGATAAGAGGTAATAATAGCAATTTTTATTGAAACATTATTTCATTCACAATTCGGCTACAATTAAATAAAGTAGAAAAACATAATATACTGGTAAAGGGCAACATTATTAAAAGTAATTAACTGCATATTAAAAATATTTTAAAAAAGAACACTGAAATAACTCAAATGAAAAGGGTCACAATAACAATGAAATAAAATGTGTGTCACAGAAAAGGAGAAAATATGATTAAAATAGTATGAAAATAGAAAAGACAGCCTTCTTTGTTACTACATTTTATTTGTCAGGTGTACTTTACACACACACTCGCACACTCACACACATCAAGAAAATATCAAGCAAATATACACGTACAAGTATTTCCAGCACATGGGTACAGTATGACAAGACAGGAAGAAGGAAAAAAAAACATTCTTTGGGTGCAACCATGCAGAACAATAAATTAAAAAAATTCACCTGACCACAGCTTTGTACCCATCAGCCCTCTTACATTTTGTTAAAGGAGACATATTACGCTTTTTTTCTTCACAATTTACCCAGTGAGAATTAGAGTGGCCTCACTCCATTACTGTCATTTTGCATGAGTCGTATGAAGTCTTAAGGCTGCATTAATATCGTGCTGAATCATCTTCTCCGGGATACTTTTTTTTTTTTTTTAAACACAAATGTTGTGTTTCCCTCAGATTTTAGTTTATCCCAAACATCTGTTAAATCGAAAATGATAAATAACATACACTAGCATGCAAATGCACTGGCACTCAAGCAAAGCCTGGTTTCACGGACGCTGCTATTTTGGAAATCAGTTGGACTGATGAATCACGAAAAGTGCTGAGTGCAATAAAGCAGTGCCCCCACATGTCAAAATTGAAACCAAACCTCTATTTACCGCCAGCATTCCTTTGAATTGCAAAAATGGAGTGAGGCCACTCTCAAATTTAGCATGTTTTCATCCAGCAACATGACCTTGGCATGCATTTGCCAAAATATTCGGAGCAGCACGAATCATAGATGTAGTTTTACAGTATATTTCTTGCCATGGTGATATGGGCTCCTTTAAGGGGCGGAGCTGTGAGCCAGCGCTCAACCCCCCACCCCTCCTCCGCACACCACTGAGCCAATGCCAAGCACAGCTTTCAATTGAAGACAACTGGTGAGCTGGATCATTTGGTCATCTCTACCGATGAAGCTGTCATACATTGTCAGAATCGATTCTTCCATCAATGAGTTGGATAAAAATTGATGTTGCGTTAAGCATTTATTAATGAACAGAATGCTCTTGAGAAATTTCAGTCTGATTTCAGGGTGAACCTCAGCACACTCAGTCAATCTGAAATGATTTTAGACTAATTGTTGTTTCGACTGGATCTGAGCGCTGCTGTTTGATACAGCAGACACATCGGCCTCTCAGGCGTTGTCCACTAATTAATTTACATCCTACCTTACAAACAGAACTTTCATGGTAAGTCGAGATACCTGCTTTTCTAAGGTCCATAAAATCATGTGGTGTGCCCCAGGGTTCAAGTTTAGGCCCAGTGCTTTTAGACCCATACATGCTCCCTCTTGGTGATGCTATCAGGAAACATGGAGTCAACTTTCACAGTTATGCCAACGATTCACAAATGCACATCTCTGTGTGTCAGAGTGACACAAGGCCAATGGATGCACCTTTTAACTGCATCTCAGATGTTAAATCCTGGATGGCAGAAAACGTTCTCTGGCTTAACCAGGAGAAAACTGAAGAAGTCATCGGTCCTGAGGCACAGAGAGAGAAACTTTTAATAAAACTACAGTTAATATCTTTTAAACCATTCACACAAAACCTGGTTGTGATTTGAGAATTGGAGCCGACTTTTATTCCACACATTAAGAACATCTCTACCATAAGATTTTACCACCTAAAGAACATTGCCAGAGTCCAAATTGTGACATCGCAGTGGGACAAAGTGGGACAAAGTTGGGAACGACTTACTCAGACACATGTTCAAAAACAGGCAGATTACCAAAGCTTTACTTGGTCGTTTTATCTCACATTTGATTGGTGGACAGGCATACTAAGTAAATGACGCTCACCCATAAATTAAACTTCTCCCTTCAGCTCAACAGTTCCTTGGCTCCAAGATGCTACAAGATGGCGCCAAAGCATTATTTCAAAATCAGTGGATCACAGACAATCGATCCCCCTAAAAATCCGTAAATATGCAGGGGTTCATTGCACAAACATGAGAAAAAGTCCGATTTCCATAATATGTCCCCTTTAAGGAATTAACATGTAAAAAAAAAAAAAAAAAAAGAAAAAAAAAACAAGCAAGAAGTTAAGGTTAGAAGAGCTGCAGCCTCCTTTAAAGATGGAGCATCCTACACTGCTTCAGAAGCAAGGCAAAGGTAATTCTTTTGTTGCCGGAACCTTCCTTTGGTCCTTCAAGTGATGATCTGAGGCTCCCAGGCCTGGCTGGCCACCAGAGGGCGGCACTGTGCAATGACAAGCGGGCCGGCTGTGCTCTGACTGTCCAGGCACAGTCCGCTAACTGTGTGCTGCAGGGCCGAGCCTTTGGGCTTCCATTTCTGCGCAGAAAAAAACATGAGATGCCGTGAATCCGTTCCAGCATCCACAAAAACGTCAACAAAATGTTTTAGTGAGAAAATAGTTCAGTGTTACATGTCACTGTCAGATGAAAACCTTGTCTAACCAAATATGGATTTCCCACACAATTTCATGAGGGAGAAACTGACACTGGAATGCAAAAACAAGAGGATGATAAATGCAATATTGTTCAGTCTCCTGTGGGACAAACATCCAATGCGGAGCCAAAATGGCCACCAGCAGATGAAGGAGGACGCGAGCGGCGGCTCACACATATGCTTCCACTTAATCGCGACTCCCTTCTCGCTGTTGTAAATCACCGGGTGGACGCGGGTCAGCATGGAAAGATGGTGGGTTAGGGTTGAGAGGTTACAGCCCACGTCTCCTGAACGCCGATGACACAGCTGGTCTTACGATGGCCATTTTGTGTTCATTCCACACTGATTGCTAGGGCCATTAAGATGTGTAGATGATTGACAAGGATGTGAGAGGAAAGCCAAGAGTTGCACTCAAAGCCTTTGAAATCACATCTTGTCCTCGGTGCATTTTCTTTTCAAAGGGAATCAATCTTTAATTTTGTGTGTGTGTGTGTGTGTGTGTGTGTGTGTGTGTGTGTGTGTGTGTGTGTGTGTGTGTGTGTGTGTGTGTGTGTGTGATTCTCCGTTTTATATCCTTGTCACTTTTAAGTGAAGGCATATGTGTCACGAGTGTGTTAAATGTTTTGGATTAAACCCTAATTTGAAACCTTACCCTTGTCCTCAGACTTCATTTTGAAACCCTGGCCTAAAACTCTAATTTGAAACGTGAAATCTGTTTTAAAACCCTATTGTCTTGAAACAATACTTCGAAAATTTAAACCTTGGGACGAAAACCCTGTTTCAAAACCTTAATCCCAGTTTGAAACCGGAAATTGAAACCCTAACCATGAGTTAAAACAAGCCCCAATCTTTGCTGGAATCCCTAAATCAGACTTGAAACGCAAATGTTTTGTTTGACACCCTAATCTTGGGTTAGCGTACTGACCTGTCGAGGCTCTTTGGCGTTGCAGGGCTCCATGGTGACCTTTGACCCCGCGGTGAAGAGCGTGATGGCCAAGCAAAGGTCGCGCTGCCGGATCAACGGCTCGATTAACTCCCACCTCTGAAAAACAAATCACACACAAACATCAATAGGAAGCAATTATTTGTGGATTTCAAGAAAACCTCACCCAGGCTCCAAACCCGACCAAACAAGGCTTCAAATCACTAATTAAATACCCTCACCAGTATTTGAAACCCTAACATTGGGTTGAAAGCCTGAATCCAAACCTTTGCTTGAAACTTTAATTTGTCATACGAACCCAATCTTGAAACCCAAAATACAAATTTGAAACCATAACCTTTGCTTGAAACCCTAACCCTTGACTAAAACCCAGAACCTTTTCCTGAAAACCCTAATTTGAAACTCAAAACCCGCGATTGCCATGCATTGCCAATTTGAAACCCCAACATTTGCTTGAAGCCCTAACCCAGATTTGAAAGTCTAACTTGAGACTTTAACCTTTACTCAAAACCTTAACCCAGACCCGAGCCTAAATTGAAACTCCCGACACCGACAACCTAATCTGGTACACTTTTGGCCAGGCTTATTTGAAACCCAAGCCTCGGGTGAGGCCGCGCCTCCCGCCGGTCCCCTCAGCGGCCGAGCCCTAACCTGCGCCTGCGGCCTGCTGCCTCTGACCACTTTGCACTCCGCCAGGCCGAGTCCGTCCATCCCGCGGGTCTCCAGGCACAACGTTCCCTGTCGGAGGATGCTGGACACGGCCTCCTGCTCGGGAACCCTTGAGGGAGGGATTGAGGCCGGTCAGCAATCTTACTGAAGAAAGACGCTAATCGAACGCCACCGCTTCAATTGATCATTGAAAGTCAAACTTCATTGAATTCATATTTGAATTTAGGATTGTGTTCATAATTCAACTATGAGGTATGATTCCATAAAATACTGTTCAATCAGTCCTGGCAAAGTGTTAAGGGGGCTCAGGTCCCTCTTAATCCCCACCCTAGGATCACCACTGTATTCGATTGATTATTTTATTCAGAATGTTCATAATTTTATTTTGCAAGTAATTCACGGCGAATCAAATTTGTGAATAAAAACCAAACTGATGTGTATTCCAGCATGAATCATTGACCTGATCATTTGTGATTCAGGGTGTCATGACACCGCGTGCGTTTACTCTCGCTTGACATGCCAGGGGGGGAAAAAAAAAAAAGAAAAAGAAACTTCAATTTACAAGCCGGCGCCCCCCTAAATTTATCTTTTGGTGATTCACCATTTTGGCTTCTCGACTTAATTGGTCCAATGTGTGAGTACGCGAGGGACTTGAGCGACTGTGATTTAATGCAGCGTGACGGTGGTGCGGCCCAGCATGCGGTACAGCTAAACGCACTCATAAAAAAAAAAAAAAAAAATCATGTCTCTGTGTTACACGGTTAGATGAAAACTAACCACGTTACAAGGATTTTGTCTTAAGGAAATATTGACAAATCAAGCGTAGTCCACCTGAGCTCAGGGTAAACATTCTCCATGTACCAGCGGAAAGGTTTACAGTTCAGCTTTCGGCGCAGCGTCAGACGGTCGGCTATGCTGCAAAGAGACAAGTAAACACGCCACACGCTTAACTCTTGTATAATAAAGGTAAGTTTCTTGATGTGTACGATTCTGAAAATCTACTCTCCCTCATGTCGTACGGTGACAAGAATGTACCTGCCGAAAGCTTTGCCTTGTGCTGAAGGCCTGGCCGAGTAGTAGTACTGCTTGTACTCGTCCATCCACACCTCGGCGGCCCGCCGTGTGTTCCTACGCACACGTCACACATCAGTAAGCTCACAAGTACAGTGCATCCGAAAAGTATTTGCAGCACTTCACATTTTACACGTTTTGCTGTTTTAAAACCTCATTCTGAAAGGTAAGAAAAACATGGCACAAATATTTTTTTCGGTCCCCTTCCCCAGATCTGTGCCACCGCACAATCTGTTCTCAGAGGTAGACAAAAAAATTCCACTGACTTCATGCTTGGTTCTCACATGCACAGGCTGTGAAAACGTGTTTTTCCCCCCCCCCATTTGTAATATATTTGGAAAAATACATATACTTTATACTGTGGGTGTTATAAATATGAATACGGCTTGAACAAAAGATTATGTGCAAAAAGTCAAGCACTGCAGACACTTTTTCCAGTTTTAGTATTCGATTCCATCAGGGACTCACTTGATGTAGGTGAGAGCATTGCCTTCTGGGAAGTCATACGGGTGTCGCTTCCGGAACACATGACCCACGCGACTGCAGGGCAGGATTTCCAGACTGCCGCCGCACATCCATACGCGGAACGACAGCTCTGGCAATGAGAATAATAAGAATATTCCTCCTCCTCCTCATCATCATCATCATCCTCCTCTTCCTACGGACATTTGAGTGTGAAACGTGTCACTGAGCTTCACTGAATGCTCCAGTGCTGCACAAATGGCAAGGACAGGATTTTTTTTTTTTTTTTGTGTGTGCGCAATGTGGAATGCTGTCATGTCCAAAACTGTCGGGAATGTGTCCAGTATGCATCACCCGATGACATCATTTTCATTTCCCTGATTTAATTTGAAGCACATGTCTAATGTAGTTAATGTGAAGTAAGAATACATGAAATCAGATATATAAGTGAGCAGGCATCTTACCAAAGTTCTCCCCACCCCAGATGTCCATGTGAGTGTCGTACTGTCCAAGATGGTTGAACCAACTCTTGTCCATTGCAAATATTCCCCCCGCAATCACCGGGGTCCTGCATAAAAAAAATTTAGCACCATTACCGTGATCGTCATTGTGTGAAAGCTGGGACCGAGCTCTTAGAATTTTGCTTCTGACAAGTGTGGCATTATGGCAAGTTCGCATTTTGTCTCTTTGTGAGTTCACTGGCAAAGTTATAATTTTGGGATGGTTGTTGGTCTGTGTGTGCCCTGCGATTGGCTGGCAACCGGTTCAGGGTGTCCCCCGCCTACTGCCTGAAGACGGCTGGGATAGGCTCCAGCACCCCCCGCGACCCTTGTAAGGATTAAGCAGATCAGAATGGACGGATGGATAAATGTTGATGGCATTTGTTTGCAGAAAAAAGTTTGTATATTCTTTCTGTGTAAACAAATTTGAACCACAGTGTTGTGTTTTGGTTCCCACAAAGTTAGCATTTAGTTCCTTGGTGAATTTATTTTGTTAGAGTCGTCATTTTGTTTTGTATTATGTTGTATTTGAGAACAAAATTTTAGAAAAAAAGAGTTGCCATTTTTTTTTTAAACAAAGTTAACATTTTTACTTGGGAACTATTCTTTTTGCAAAGTTTGCTTGCACTTTTCCAAAAATTATAGCATATTGTTTCCAACAAAGTATTTTCTTTCTTCATGAATGAATTTTCAACAGTGTAACGTTACAATTTTGGATTAATTTGAATTTATTTTGAAGAACAGAGTTAGCATGTTGCTTCCGACAAGGTCATCATTTTGTTTCCTTGTCAAAAAAAAATAAAAATAAAAATATTCCATATGACAGTTCAAGTTGGCATTTTGTTTCCGCCATCACTCGAACCTGATTGGCTGCGTGGGGTCACTCCTGGCCATTTTCTGTTCAATGGGAATCTGTTCCCACTTAAAGTGGAGACTCCAGTCAAATCCTGGTGAGAAACAAGAGACATCCGTCAACATAAACGTTTTTTTTTTTGTTTTTTTTTGGTTGATCATTTAAGTGTAACGGGGAGGGGGACTTCCTCCTCCTCGCCAGCTGTGCTCGCAGCTGTTAAGTTACAGCGACGGGAGATCGCGGCGTATCCTCTCACCTCCTCTCAAATCGGCCGAGGCGGCCAAGTAAGCAAAGTTGTCCAGGCTGATGACATCGATGATGGGGCTCACCACTCGCGTATGGTCCTGCAACAACATGGGCATCAACGCTTAGTAGCTGTTTCTAATATTTTGATCTGCGGTAAGGGAGGCTTGGCTACGCTCCCATGCCCAGCTGTCTTCAGTTACGCCTGTTATCCCATTGTTTGTATCAGGCCATGATCCAAGCGTGACCAAAACACTCATAAACATGATGTGTCCAATGCGGATGACATGTTGCGCTCTGCTTCTTGTTAACTTTCCCTTTTCAAAAGCGGGATACATTTCGACTCAAGGGGAATATACTGACATGGGAAAGTACTGCATTCACATCATTTGGTACCAGCCCCTGGGGAAAGGATTTTATCGTCATTAAAGCCAGATCAAGTGTCATTCCATTTTGAGTTTTTTTTTTTTTTCTTTAACAATGCCTCTCTAAGCAATGTGAAATTTGTTCGGACTGTGTATCATGAGTATTCTCGCCAAACAAAGTCTCAAAAGGACACGCCTGGAAAGACAGTTTTGTTTCAAAGTGTCCACGTTGTCTTGATAGCCTGGATAATTTAAAGGTTTTTTTTTTTTTTTTAATCAACGGGAGGCATGTCTATCATGAATAGACTTTCCTGAAGACTCAAGAGATCATCACAGAAAGTCTACTATTTTGGTCCGAAATGGATGAGCAAAGGGTACTGCTAACATTTTTTTAGCTTGCTTGGACTGTCTCGAATTAAAAAAAAAAAAACATTCACATTTTAATCACCCGCAAGACCACTTAGCAACAGTAGTTTACTATGAGTAGACATGCTCAAGAAGTCTCACTTTTTTTTGTTTTGTTTTTAATTCGGCCTCCAACACTGGTCTCACTTCAATTTGGGTGACGTGTCTATCATGAGAAAACCCACTAAAGTCTACAAAAGCCTTGCCTAAAAAGTCACAGAAAGTCTGCCATTTTGGTTTCAAGTGGCCATTTTAAGAGTCATTCCGACCAGTTCGAGGGGTCCTTTGAGATGACTTTGTCCTTGTGATTTTGCCAGATAAACAACCAACGCATGGATTCCAGTATCCAAGATCTTCTGACTTTGAGGGCTCTCACAAATGTGCGATACAAATACTCTCCCCAGGATGTGTTCTGACAACAATCCCTTCTTCTAACAATAGCCAACTTAAGCTGCTTCTCCATTTGTTTTCTATGCATGGACCGTGTGTGTGTGTGTGGGGGGGGGGTATTCCCTGGCGGACTGCCTAATCCAATTGTTGGGATACTTTCTGCTGCATTACAGAAAGACAGAAAAAAAAACATGCAGCCTGCAG